GGAAGGGAAGGACCCTTATACCCCAATGCAGAAGTCTGGCACAATCAAACCCCAAATTATCAAACAGCAGCATTTCACTTGATTAGGCACTATTGGCAGGCAAATAAACAATAGGGGCCCCAAATGAGATCAGGGCCCTGCTGTGCTAGGTGCTGTACATACACACAGAAAGAGACAATCTTTGTTCTAAAATTGCTTACAACGTATCTCCTTTAAGTTCCAATTCCTTATTGTACTGAAAATACCTTTCAAGCAGGAAACACACACACAGAGGTGCACATGGCTAAGCACTGAAAGATACCCACCCCCAGCTTGCTTCCAAAAGTTAATACAAAGCTAGAATCTCCCCAGGAAGTCAACCCCAATTCCACTTTTCTTAAACTGATCTATAAGTCAAGAAAATGAGGGTCATTACAGCAGGTAAGCCTATTACTTAGCTGTAGCATGTAAATATTTTTCTCATTGCAAATGAATGTATAATAGAGACTACAATATAATAGAAAACTGACTGAAAATTCATAGAAATGCCATTGGAAAATTTTCATAATGGACTTTTCTGAAAAAAGACATTATTCACAGAATGTGGTAAAAATAGAGTGAATTGGGCTTTGAGAAAAATTGCAAGACTGTTCAATAAAAAGACAAAATAGCAAAACTCTTCAGGCAGCAGGAGGTAAAACGAAATATAGGAAAGTTCCCCTGAATAAAAAAACCCAAAACTGGAGGAGAACATTTACTGCTCTCCTCCAGCATAGCAACCTTTCTAAGGGATTCAGATAATGGGATCTTAATTCTAGTCATGTTGGGAGTACAAGAAATGAGAGTTAGAACTTTAAAATGGGGACCACTGGAAAATTGGAAAGGTTAGTGGAGACCAGATCAACAAGTGAAATTAGGGTTACCATATTTTAAGTGTCCAAAAAGAGGACACTCCACGGGGCTCCGGCCCCGCCCCAACTCCGCCCCAGCCCCACCCCTTCCCCGCCCCAACTCCGCCCCCTCCCCTGAACGCTTTGCCCCCCCTGCCCCTCCCCCTCCCCTGCTTCCCTCTAACATTTGATTCGCGGGAAGCCTGAAGCAGGCAGGCAGCAGGCAAGCTGGGGGGGGGGCGCGAGGAGGCGCGGCCCAGTCCAGCCCCCCCGGCCGAGCGGCTCCCTCCGGCGGCCGGCCAGCCCAGGCCAAGAGGCTCTGGCCCCGGCGTCTACCCCCGGCCCCCAGCCGAGCACCGCTGGCCCCCGGTCCCCAGCCCCCGGCCCTGCACCGCCGGCCCCTGGCCCCGCACCGCCGGCCCCTCCCTCCCTATTTTCCTGGACATGTCCGGCTTTTTGGGATTTGCTCCCGGACGGGGATTTGAGGCCCAAAAAGCCGGACATGTCTGGGAAAATCCGGACATATGGTAACCCTAAGTGAAATATAAAGAAAGGATCTGCCCTAAGTCTAACTGGCTCTTTCACTTAGGAGTATCCAAGAGTTTATCAGGGTAAATTGCTACTCATTATAGACTTGACCACCGATTCATATAACACATTTAATTAAACCAAGTAACACTAGAATTTGCAAACTGGTTCAGTTTATCTATGTTTGAGCAGATATGGGGTCAACTTTTCAAAACAGCCTGTCAATGGGACTTATGGGCCTAAAGTCACTTGAGAAAATTAGACTGGCATTTTTGAAATTTTACTCCCCGAGTCTATTTTCAATAGTATAATGACAGGCATGTGAGAGCTCCAGATCAAAGGCAATTATGAGAGGAGAGGGGAAGCTAATGGCGGTCGAGTGGCTTAGAGAAGTGTTTTGGTGGGTTTAGCTCAGTTCTTTCTGGGCAAATATCACAACAGCCACCATCACAAGCAGCACTAACTCACATCTTAGGCAACCTTGGCAAGGACTAAGTAGACATGGAGAGTGAATTAAATGGGATTTCTCCAGAATATGATGCAGTGGGGGAATTAGAGAAGCTTGTCCTACTGCCATCAGTAAAGGCTAAATAGAAAACTTTAGTCTTCTGTGCTGACACCTTTAATCAGCATGAAATTCCCTTAAAGAACACACTTTTTAAAAGGCAATATGCCATCTGCACACACACACTCTAAATTCCAACATTGCCCATCTCACCAATGCAAGTTTTCTCCTTCTCAGGGATTTCTGGAAACGTGGTCTGCAATGTCACAGTTCCAGAACAAGGGCATGAGTGTGGTTTCCTGCCCACAAATACCTTTGTGCAGGGCCGGTGCAAGGAAGTTTCGTGCCCTAGGCGAAATTTCCACCTTGCGCCCCCCGCCCTCACCCAGCTAACCCCGGCCTCCCCCCACGGCAGCTAGCCCAGCCCCTCACCTGGGGAGCCCCCCGCAGCAGCTATCCCCCCTCTGCAGCTATTCCCGCCTGGGGAGCTCCCCCTCTGCGGCAGCTAACCCCGCCTGGGGAGCCCGTCCCAGCTCACCTCGGCTCCGCCTCCTCCGCTGAGCACGCCGGCGCCGCTCTAATTCTCCTCAGCTCCTAGGCTTGCGGCGCCGACTGGAGGAGACTTAGGCCTGGTCTACACTAACCCCCCAAGTCGAAGTAAGGTACGCAACTTCAGCTACGTGAATAACGTAGCTGAAGTCGACATACCTTAGTTCGAAATTACCGCAGTTCAGTCGCGGTCCACACGCGGCAGGCAGGCTCCCCGTTGACTCCGCGGTACTCCTCTTGCCGAGCTGGAGTACCGCAGTCGACGGCGAGCACTTCCTGGTTCGACTTATCGCGTCCAGACCAGACGCGATAAGTCGAACCCAGAACTTCGATCCCCAGCCGCCGAACTAGCGGCTGGGTGTAGACCAGCCCTTAGAGCGGGGGCTGTGTGCTCAGCGGAGGAGGCAGAGTGGAGGTGATCTGCGGTGGGGAGCGGTTCCCCTGTGCGTCCCCCCCCGTCACTGCGGGCGGCCCTCCCGGGCCCCCCACCCCAGCTCACCTTCACTCCACCTCCTCGCAGGGGTGGCAGGTTTGTAGAAATTTTGGTGGTGCCCAGAACCCGCCCCCGCCCAAACTCCGCCCCCCACCTGCCCAAGACTCTGGGAGGGAGTATGGGTGAGGGAGGTCTGGGGTGCAGGCCCTAGGCTGGGGCAGGGGATTGGGGTACAGGGTGCAGGCTCTGTGAGGAAGTTTTGGGATGGGAGGAGTGCAGAGGGATGGGGTGCAGGAGTGAGGGCTGTGGGGTGTGGCTGCAGATGAGGGGTTTGGAGTGTGGGAGGGGCTCAGGGCGAGAGTAGGGGTGTAGGCTCTATCTGGGGCTGGAAATGGGGGATTTGGGGTGTGGGAGGGGCTCAGGGCAAGAGTAGGAGTGGGGGGGTGAGGGCTCTGTCTGGGACTGGGGATAAGGTGTTTGGGGTACTGGAGGGGCTCGGGCAGAGGGTCAGGGTGTGGGGTGATGAGGGCTCTGGCTGGGACTGGGGATAAGGTGTTTGGGGTGCTGGGGGAGCTCGGGCAGAGGGTTGAGGGTGCAGTGGGGGGGTGAAAGCTCTGGCTGGGGGTGTGGGCTCTGGGTGGGGCAGAGCTGGGGATGGGTTAGGGGTACAGGCAGGCTGCTCTGGGACAGGGGCCAGAGTGGAGGACTCTCCCCAGCTCTTTCCCTGCCAGCAGCAGTAAGCTCTGGGGTATGAGCCCCCCTTTCTCGCCCCCCCCCCCCAGCACCACACTCACCCCCACCACTGTCACTGCATGTGCTCCTAGGGTCCCTCTCAGGTCCTGGAATCTCCCTTGCCTCCCCCATGGTGGGGCGCTGCGAGTGCCTCCTCCCCTGCTGTTGCCCCTGACTGTAGCCTCACTGGGGGTGAGGGATGGGGGTGCCTCCTGGCCCAGCGTGGGGCAGGAGCGGTGACTGCGGGCAGGGGAGTCCCCTGTGCTGCTGGAGGATCCCATTGGAAAATGAAAGGCTCTGAGGGGGAAGGGCAGACTCAGAGTCAGTCTGCCCTGGCAGTGGACAAGGGGGGCACTAGGACCCTGTGGCAGCAGTTGCTGCAGGGAAGCAGCATGGAGGAGACAAAGACAGACAGGTTCTGCTCCCAGACAGAGACGCTCTGCTCCTCTGCTCCGGGGGCCGTGAAAGGCGAGCGGGGGGCGGGGGCAGGGGCAGCAAGTCGGGGCCAGGGGACACTCGGGGAAGGCGTGGGGGGGGCTGCAGGTGGGGCCGGGGGGGACACACAGCCCCAAGTATTGCTAGAGCTGGGCCCCTGGCTCTGAATATTGCTGGTGCCCGAGCACCACATAGATATGGAACTCGCTGCCTATGCCTCCTCGCCTGAGCGGGCCTTTAGGCGCCTCCAACCACTAGGCGCCCTAGGCGGCCGCCTAGTTTGCCTAAATGGTTGCACCGGCCCTGCCTTTGTGAGCAGAATCCCAGTTTGCCTAAAACAGCAGACCTGTAGTATAAGCCGAGCCTCATTGCAGTCTGACCTAACTCAGCTGTTGGGGTCAGAATCTGTGCTTATCTCAGCTGGTGGACTGGGAGCAGCGGTTGAGATTATAACATGAAGGCATGAGGAGTCTAGTTGGGTCCAGATGCTGAACTAGGGCATAGACAAGTTTTAAGGGTCCTTGGGGTATTTCTAGCATTATTTACAAAATCATAATATACAGAAAGACCTTTTGTACAACTACGCTCTTACTAGTTATGGAAGGCCTGAAGCCCTGCTAACCTTGGCAAGGCGATGCTAAAGACCCAGCTTCCCAGTACATGATTCTGCATATGGTTGCTCCAACCCGGCAAATACATCTGGAGGGGATACTGTAAGGTCAATAACCAGTGCCACTGTATCATCAATCTCTTCTTAAGTTTAACTTCAGAATGCAAATAGGTGAGGATATTTGTAAAGAGTTCTGAGAGGTAGAATCTATAGCACACTGCCTTTTATTGAGCATACGTCCCGAGCAGCCACATTATCAGACATGAATGACAGGTGTGTGTGTGGCTTGGGGCATGGAAAGAAAAAGCAGGAGAGAAATGAGAAGAGGGAACCTTTTACCTGACAGGTGCTCCACGGGACTGAGCAGGCTTCAACATGACTGTGATGGTAGTGTCCGTTTCATTCAAGGGGGAGTCCATGTCGTATTCAGGCATAGATGGTGCTGTGGCAGAACAGAGACCAATGTGTAAATTATCCACTAGTTTTTGTTTTCGGTAGCTTTGGCAAAATAACACGAATCACTCTTGCAGCCTGGGTAGCATTTTTCAACTGAGATGTTGAAATACTTTACAAGCATTAAGGGTGGAATTTTCAAAGCTGTTTAAAAGATTTGGACACCCACTTCCCTTTAAAAATATAATGGGAATTGGACTCAAAATTTCCTAGATGGCTTTGAAAATCTCTCTCTAATTAGTTAAGCCTCAGCACTCCTGTGAAAATGGCATCATTTTCTACATTTTCACATGGAGACCCACACAGAGGTTAAGTCTTATCTTGGCTAAAGGTCACATAGTATGTCAACAATAGAGCTGAGATAGAAGCCAGGAGTCCCAACTCTTATTCTCCAGCATTTATCACTAGATTACACTTCCTACACCTGAGATGCAACTTTCACTGTTTAGGCCTGAGCTAAACTGAACCTTTGAGAGCTATAAGATAAAGATTCTTAGGGAGGTGTGGGGATTAGCCAGGTTATCTCACACTCAGCACCATAGTACTGTCACAGACACACATACAGAACTACATAGTCTGTATTTTTGGTATTAAGTCAACCCACTAATTAGTACTGGGGACATTTTCACGAAAACAAGATATTGACTTTCTTATAAGTTAGTTTTTCTGCTACCTATCTCCCCTTCTTGCTTCCCCACTTGAAATCAGACTCCTGTTTGGGACAACACTATTTTTTGCTGTGGAAGAAGTGCAGATACCACAAACAGCATTAGGATTTTGGGTGGGGAACAAGCAGCAGCAGCAGCAGATGAATCCCATAAGGCGCAAAGATCCAGGTTTCGTGCAAGTGCCTTTAGCTAAAAAGAACATGGAGGGATTAAATGCAGAAAATATGTTATCTGAATAGCCTAGTTCCACTCAGTGGAGCTATAACTCAGAAAAGTGACTTGGTAAAACTGCATTGTTGGAGGTCCTATATTTCTCTACCATGACCTCCAGGTCAAATCAGCCTGTTTACAAGTTGATGATGTCTCAGAAACTGAAAATTGTCAAGATCCTGGTTTCTATTAGTAGTTCTGCCACTGACTTATTTTGAGGCCTTGTGCGAGTCACTTAACTTCCCTATTCCTTTAACATCCTCCCATCAATAAAATGGTGATGATTTTATGTGGGAAATGAATCTCTGAAATCTTTATATAAGAAACTCTATATTAAGGAAGTATTTAAATAAAAAGCGTGTTATAGGACAATTACCTTAACTATGAAGTATTATTTGTATTTCAATATTTTCTAGCGATGCACAGTCTATTGTGCCAGATGCTTTACAGGCATAGTAAAAGACTGTGCTGGCCTCAAAGAGTTTACAATCATACTTTAAGACAAGACAAAATCGGTGAACGAAACACACATTGTGGAAGGACTGGGTAACAATAACAGGGAGTGTAATTCAGTGATCAGTATTTGCATTAGTTACCATGCACATGCAGGGAACATACCAGTTTTTCCTTACACTTAAAATATGAAACAGCTAAGTGATAGCTCGGCAAATGTTGGCTTTTTGGCAACCACTGAATAGTAACATAATTACTATACAACTGCATGGTGTTTAGTATTTTAGGGCCCACTGAAGTCAACAGGAGTTTTGTCACTGACTTCAGCAGGAGCAGAATTGGGCCCTTAATAGTTACCAAGAGATTATGATTATAAACATATACACACACATTGCGGCAAAATATGCATACCTGGTCATTAAAGAAAATTACCAAAAAGTCCTATAAAAACACCATAATAGGTGGAAACATGTTAGTAATCAAAAGCCCAACACAAAAATCCTTATTCCTGAACACTGCCTTCTTGGGCATTGGTTTTATGACAAGCATAATGAGAGCTTTCAAGTTATGAACACAGGAGTGGCCAGGCAATGAGATGATCTAATATTAGTGACTATGCTATTGCCTGTGTGAAGCCTCTGAGCCTACCTACTATGAACCAGATGTTTCAGAAGCCTGTGAAGACAGACTGAGCTGATTGCTCATGTGCAGTCAAGTGCGGGGGTTACTCTAACTTGATTTCTGAATATTCACTGAATGCTAAAATAAAAGCAAATGGAATCAGAGAGGGAAAGGTACTAGCATTATTGTGCTATCGTATCTTTGTTATGTTACAAGTGTGCAGAGTGTGTGCCGTCTCCTTCTAGTGGTAGGTCCACATGGAGGCTAACAGTCTATGTGGCTGATATTAGCTAATGGAGTTGCTTCTTTAGCTCAAGTATGGAGATCTGCACTTTTGTGCTGAAAGTCAAGGGTTCAAACCCTGCTGATGATTAGTGGAAGGAATGGTTATATGATGCTTTCTTGATGTTTATTCTCTCATTTATGTCTAGTGCATTAATAACATTGTCCTCTTTCAAAATTTGTTAATAAAAACGAAGCAGAAAAGTGCATTGCCGTGCACTGTTTTATAAGGCAGTTGGCTATGATTTGAGGCATCACAATTGTCTGAGCACATCTGCACACTAAAATTCTGCACTCAAGGTTTACCTTAAGCTTTCCTCTGCTGGGTAAAGATACAAAGCAAAGCCAAAGGTATTCCGATTATTCACTGTTCTCAAAGAGGTGAAAAAATGAACCAGGCGAATAACACGTTATCCCAATGCTGTCATTTTAATTGTAAAATCTTTCCATAAATCTAATCCAGCACTTGGTTCTCCCCTACCCTCCTCTGAAACTCATCTAGCAATAGCCTCCTCTTTCTCTGCAGGTGCAAGAGCCTTCTTCTCTGCAGCTCCTGCGGTCTTTAACAGCCTTCCTAGGCATACGTGCCTTGGACTCTCCATCTTTTCTCCAGTCCCATTTGGAAAAAAAATTACCATTCTCCTTGTTCATACCTCTCCATTGCTCTATCCTTCTGATATTATTTAACTAGCTCCATTATCACTCCCTGTGGAGCGTTTTGAAGATATAAGACAAACATTTTCAAAGGATTCTCTAAAACTAGGCACTCGGTGTAAATGTACACTCAGTCAGTTGCGGGGGAAACAAATGATGTCATCTAACACATTGTCTGCATCTACAAATCAGCTATTTATTATTAGGTACTATTTTCACACACTCCATCAAATATGGATGTTGGGGGGAGCCCACTTTTAAAATTTGTTCCACAGAGTTTGTATGGTGTTGAAATTATCATCATCATACTTAATATGGGATACAATCATAAATTCCCTTATTAAATCCAAAAGACAAATGGTATTTACACATTAAATGTGTAATGCTCCAAACTTACTTTAAAATGCCTAAGCACTCAACACGCCCACACAGTAATATGCAGTTATAGGCATTGATCAGGCACTTACAACAGGACTAGACCTGGGATGCCCAAAACCATGTTTCCTGGGTCCAGCTGGATAGACAAGTAACTAGCAATGAACCCTTTAAGAGTCCACCCTTTTATAATTTATCTATCAGAACCTGTGTGACAATAGTCACTGCTTCTTGAATTCCTTTCTTTGCTGAAACTCGTTAGAACCTTCTTTGATCATTGCGGCTTTTCTTCAAAGATTTCCATCCTGTATTTACACAGACTGCAGATCATATATATTCTTCAGCCAAGCTAACAACCCTTTATGGAGCTATCTTATCCTACAGACAGAGATACTATGCCAAGTCATTTGTTCTTGCTTTATTAGTTTACTTTGGATCTAGAAAGGACAAACGAAGGCCAGGCCTCTTCCCTTCTCCCCCAGTGCCATACCTGAAATTTTAGTTGCGATCCGTGTTGTGATGGGAGGCCCGAAGCCCTTCACTGTGCTGGCTTTGATGGTGAACGAATAGGTAGTCCCTGGATATAACCCTACAAAGAGGTGGTGAGTTTCATTCCTTAGTTTGAAGATCTTTCCCCTCTGGCTGGACAAGTCAGCACTGGGATCCAAGGACCCAACAGCTTTGTATGTAATCTGCAAATAAAGAACAGACAGAGTCAGGGTGGTTGTGCTGACATCAGGATTGTCAGGCAAAAAAACAGATCCGATTTCATTATCTTCCATGAATGGGTTTTTACTTGGACGTTGGAGATCCAAGCATGATCTTTCCTCCAAAGTTTCACTTAATAGAGGGTCTGATTTTTCACTTCCATTACCAACAGGCTCAGACTGCAGCATAAACTGATTTAAGAAGTGGATGAACAATTTTTTTTAAAGAAATCTCTTAATTTCTTCAGCCAAATTAAAGTTGACAGCAGGATTTTCATGAATATTTCTGGTGTAATTCCTTCCCCTCACCCTTCTCCCTGTGATGTGAAAAGACTCGTGGGAAAATTTCCCATCAGGTATTTTTCCTGCCAGCTAGTGGCCTGATCGAAAGCCAATTGAAGTTAATGGGAGTCCTTCTATTGACTTCAATTGACTTTGGATCAGGTTCTAAAACAGAAAGAATTTTTGACCCAGAGAGAATATTCTTTTAAGAACATGAAATAAATACCGTGAAGGCATTACACAAATTCCCCCCTCTCTTTGCCTGTGTTTTTGAGACTGTTTCAGATTGATTTTTGTTCTGGCTTTGTCCTTGGTTTTGAGGGTTTGTGTATGAGTGCTGTCCCTGATTTCCACCTCAGAGTGTTGGCAGAAAGGTATGGATCCAGACAGATATTCATGAGTACATATATTGCTAGTGATAACACACCTTTAGAGAAATACAAGCCCAAAGCACACCTTTGAAATTCTGTGTGAGTTCCATTATGCCTACCAGTGGCAAGTCTGTGGATATACAGACATTGGAGGTAAAACTCATGACTTATTTACCAGCTGATTCCTTCCCTATGTTTCAAATTCAATCCAATGGTGCCTCAGTTTCAACTGAACTGTCAATATAATATACTGTACTCTACTGCTCCCCTAACCTTTCCTGATATTACAGGATCCTTGCTTATTTGTAATGAAACACTATGAATAAATCAATGTATTTTAATATAGCAAGTCTTCAATTTTTTATGAAGGTCTTCACGAGAATCTAATTCCTGGATTTGCCAGAAAAAGGCTTTGAAAATTCTAAGTCCCTTGTATTATGACAGGAAGAAAATGTTGCATTTTGAAGAAAAAACAAATATATAATGTTAAAAAAGGAGTATCTTATAACAGGTTTGAAAACAGACAGAGGCCAGTTCTTACTGGCACCATGCAGGAGCAGCAAATAACACTGTTATTTAGACAGAGGCAGATCACAAAAGAGAAAGCTGATACACAGAGAATAGGTTGGATTACAGGGAAGAAGAGTGAATTCCACCAGGATCCATAATGATATAGAGCAGCAAGAACTGAGGAGAGTGGCACCCTCAAAAGCAGCTCTATTAAATCAGCTTGTCAGTATTTTCAATTTAAACTCACTATTTTCCCAAGGAACTATACATTGCAATTTATTTTGTTGCTACTTACCAGCAGCTGGCTATACAGAGTCAGATCTCAGGACAAAGGTCATTAAAAAAACCACAAACACTGGAAGCAGAATACTTTATTCACCTTCGGGGGCAGCGAAGAGGGAACAATTGCAGCTGCCTTAACAAAACATTTTCAAAGAGGGAGAGGAAGAGAACTTTAGGTAAAACACTGTTAGGTTCTGAGGAAAAGATCATAGCCCTGGCTTTGCTACAGATGAAGCAAATTTAAAAAATAAAATTTATTCATTCAGTGTTTAGTTTTGAGTCACAAGCAACAAAAAAACTTCAAAAACAGACTCAAACGAGAGACTGCTGAACTGGAATTAATTTGCAAATTGGACACCATTAAATTAGGCTTGAATAAAGACTGGGAGTGGATGGGTCATTACACAAAGTAAAACTATTTCCTCATGTTTATTCCCCTCCCCCACAGTTCCTGACACCCAGGAGCGCTGCCAGCTTTTCTGCCGCCCTAGGCGGCGGAAGGTCCTGCCCCGAAATGCCGCCGCGGTCACCTCCCCCCAAATTGTAGCACCCTAGGCGACTGCCTAGGTCACCTAATGGGTTGCGTCGGCCCTGCTCACACCTTCTCGTCAACTGCTGGAAATGGGCCATTTTGATTACCACTACAAAAAGTTTTTTTTCTCTCCTGCTGGTAATAGCTCACCTTAACTAATCACTCTCGTTATAGTGTGTATGGTAATACCCATTGTTTCATGTTCTCTGGGTATATATATATATCTTCCTACTGTATTTTCCACTTCATGCATCCGATGAAGTGGGTTTTAGCCCACAAAAGCTTATGCTTAAATAAATGTGTTAGTCTCTAAGGTGCCACAAGTACTCCTGTTCTTTCTACAAGCAGGAGAGACTGTTAACCTCTTGGAACTTGCATGCTGTGTTTGTACTAATAAAATGTAGAAACAGCATTTTTAGAATAGTCTTCAGGTGCTGGGTCGGAGTTCAGGGATTGGGAAATTGGGAATAGGATAAGGAAATTTCCAGTTCTAGGTCACTGAAAATCCTGCTCATATGATGGCCAGCCAGTATCCTATGTGAATTCAGTTAGTTGGCTCAGTACAGGTCTGAGCAGACTGACTGAGTGCAACAATTCAGTTCACACAGACCATCCCATTTCCATCCGATGGTATTGACTTTCGATAACATTAGCAGGGAGACCACAGAGGAGAAGTGGAGGAATCTTGCACTACAACTGTCCTTCATCTATGGATAAATAGAAGAGGCTACTCATCAATAATCCATCAATCTTCATTTTTAAAAATTAACAAACAAACAAAACAACAAAAGAAATCAGATAAGGCAAATGAAACTTCAGCAATATTTTCGATAAAAAGTAAGTTATGGAGCTTTACAAGTCAGATTCTGCTCATTAGAGTCTGCATGGAAGACTTGCATGGGGGGCACACAAACTACAGAGGAACTCAACTTGTGAAGTCTGGAACCTGATTCAGAGTTGAATCCAACATTCACCACAGTTTTGGTAGGGAGTAAGCAGCATTCCAGAGGGAGGGCCTGTTTCAGATTCAGGGTTGCAGTTTAGGCAAATGAGAGAGAGAGAAGCCCTACCAACAAAAGTTTTGATCCAGATGAGAATCTGAAGTTTCTCAGAGGTGTGAGCTTTTTGGGGTGGGGTGGGGAAAGGGGATTATTCTTGGTATTACTGTAGGACTTAAAGGACCCACAGGAGAAAGGCCGCATTGTGCAAGGCTCTGTACAAACATACGGAAGAACCAATCCCTGCCCCAACAACTGAAGACAGAGAGGGAGTACAGGGTAATAGTAATGCAAATATGTTTCTGCAGAGGTGAGCTATGGGCACAATTTGTAGGTAGCATTATTTGAATGATAAGTAAACATAATAGCATCAGTAGATATGGCTTGGTATCTGCCTACCTATTGTCAGCTGAGTTAGGTTTAAACTCTTCTCTAAGAACCTTGAATTATGGGAATGGGTTAGGAATGCATATAAGGCACCAAACTGAGAACAGAGGGCCCAGTTTCTATTCACAGTTCTGCCCAGGGCCGGCTCCAGGGTTTTGGCCGCCCCAAGCAGCCAAAAAAAAAACAAAAAACCCTGCGATCGAGATCTGTGGCGGCAATTCGGCGGGAGGTCCTTCGCTCCGAGCGGGAGTGAGGGACCGTCCGCCGAATTGCCGCCGAATAGCTGGACGTGCCGCCCCTCTCCGGAGTGGCCACCCCAAGCACCTGCTTGCCAGGCTGGTGTCTGGAGCCGGCCCTGGTTCTGCCACAGACTTGTTGTGGGACCCTGGGCAAGTCACTTCTCTCTATACCTCAGTTTTGTCATCTGTAAAATGAGGGTAATGAGAGCCACACCTTTTAAAATGTTCGAGATCGATGGATGAATCGGATTATATCATGGCTAAATATTGATATTTAAGCAGCAAATTCAATGGTGAGCAGTGAGGTAAATGTAACACTGAAAACAAGGCTCTGTTTGATTTGAATGAGACAACTCCTCTCCCATCTCAGGCAGATCAGCAACGTTTTCAGTCCTAGGAAATGTGACTTCTGTCTTTTAAAGTATGCGAGAGAATGCTAGCACTAAGGCAGAGTCCGACATAATGCTGGAAGGCACTGCACAAAACCTTACTGCGCCTCAAATCTCCTGCAATTGGAGTCTCAGCTCTCTACGCTGCTATGCCAAAGCATCTTCCATCTCACCTGTAGTTTTTGTTCCAGTCCTGGTCCTCTACACAGCTCTATCAGCATACCTCAGTCCTGACCAGCAGCCTACCCTTCTACTCCAGTAGTAGGCTATCCACATTCAACTCGGAAGCATACCTCACTCATGACATGCAGCTTCCTGCTATTGCAGTCATGGGTGTTTTCTGATCAGAGACTTCAAAGTGTGTGACACTGTCTGATCGGTTCGTGTTGCAAACAGAAGATAGGCTATAATGTTATCTTACTTTTCTATAGTGCGTTTCATGCAAACGACGCCAAATCTCTTTACAAACTGTACAACCTACTTAGAATGTACAAAGCATTTTCACTTTTATTCCACTTACCACACACAACTTTTGTGAAGATTAGTTAATGTCTGCACCGTCCTTCAAACACTAAGTGCTACAGAAACAGCAAGTATTATTATTCCGAGCTTTAAAACATAACATGCTGACTTATGATGGAACATTTGACGCTTTCTTGCAATCTGACTTCACCATCAGTGACCCCATGATTGGTGTGCTTTCTTTATATATCTGTAGGCTTTCAATTAAAGTTCAAGGTTTTCCTCTGTATAGTACAATCAAATTATATGCTATTGTGCGCTATTCCTTATAATCCATCTTCCCATTGCCTTAGAACCTTAGTGCTGTCCCTTGGAACCAAGAAGTAGCTCCCTGTTCATGTAAACTTCTATTTATCTAAACAAACAAATCCATTTTGTCACGTACAAAGCTTGGAACACATACTGTGTATGTCTACACTGCAATGCAAGCCCAGGGTTCAAACCCCCTTCTGTCTATACACAAATCTCAACAA